GAAGCGAAGGGTGTTGAGGGGTGAAAACCCACTAGCTTTGGGTAGTAGACTTTGACAAAAGATTTTTTCTTGCTGTTTTTTGTTATGTCAACCAACATGTTGGCCAGTACATCTCTCATAACTTTGGAAATGAAAAGAGCAGCTCAACTTTAGTAAGGGGGTGAAGTTTCAGCTCATAATGTTGACTGTAGGATAAATGGCATCTAATAAAATTTAAAATTTTATAAGGATTTGTATGGGAAAATGTGCTGTATGGCAAAGAGCATATACACCATACAAATCCTTATAAGACAGTTTTTGTTTTACAATAACTTACAAATTTCTCACATGCTGATTGATTATTTTTTATCATCTATGAGAGTACAGACAGATAAAGCTGATGTCAACGAACGTGCACTCTTTCCATTGGTTGTTTTRATCGCTAAAAATGAGAAAAGTTTTTTTTGGTTTTGATATTGCTAAAAACAAATAGACATCAGTTCTTTATGTGTCTGTACCTTATCGATGATAAATTTTTAATTCTACTTTTTTGCTATCTATGACCTAAACCTCTTTCACCCTACTAATATCGAGGTGCTCTTTTTATTCCTGATGCTCATTTTAACACAGCTACTGGTTTCAAGGGAGGTAGGGTCACATGACCTGTTAAGCACATAAATGGAATAACAGCTCCATATATGAATGATACATTAATATTAAATAGTGAAAGGGTTAGGGTAGAAGCATGAGATATGCAAATTATAATTTTGTATGTCCTATTTTTAAGAGGCAAACTGAAGGTGGAATAACTTTCTGTGTCTCCACTGCAAAATTATGGAATAGTCTGCCACTTGATTACAGAAAACTTTCAAATGTTATACATCTTTTAAGAATAGTTATTTCAAACTTTTATTAAACTTAATTAGTTATACTTATTTCTTTTGTTTTCCTTTATGTTTTGATGTTATATTCTGATAATGCATAATTAGCTTTTTACATATATTCTAATCTTTTTATGTAATATATACAGTATGAGTGGCCGTGTTGTATCCGATATACAAGCTTGAGGCGTAGCCGAGAGTTTGTATATCGGATGCAATACGGCCACTAATACTGTAGATTACTTATCAAACGTCTAGGTTATTTCTAATCTGGCCAAGAAAATCCATCTTAAAGTTTATGCAGGATTCTGTATCTTATTCTAAAAAACTCTTCACGGTTGTGATTTCTGTTGTGTTTTCCTCGTGAATTATCAATGAGTTTAATAAATATTTTTACATTATAACATAATGATGAAATTAAAAGCAATCACTTTTATTTAAGTGTCTAATTGTTTTAGCACTTTCGCACTAATTGGGGACAAGGACAGGGTCAGGGTTTTGAGGTCCTGGCGGCACACCCCTACCCAAGTTGGGGTGATAGTACCCCCCCCCCCCCCCCCCCCCCCCCCCCAACTTCGTGTTTTAGCGCGAAAACTACACGAAAGTGGGCATGCGTTAACTGAATTTCCGCTGAGGAAGCATCGCAGGCTATATGTAAGTCTTATCATATTGTACGGGATACCTCTGGAAATATGATAAAGCTTTCTTCTACGGAGAAGGTTTTCTTCTACGGAGAAGGTTTTCACTTTTACGGAGAAGATCTTCGCTTCTTCGGAGAAGGTTGCTTCTACGGAGAAGGTGTTTCTTATACGGCGAACGCGTGCTTTTCAACGGAGAAAGGTTACGTTTTAGAAAAAAATATCATCTTGTTTAAAGAGAGAATTGTTTCCGCGGAAAGAACTTGTAGTTTTGCATAGAAATGTCAGATATTAGCAGAGAACAACTCGATTTCCAGAAAAGAAAGTATTTTATTTGTACAGAACACATTTTATTTTAGAGGGAAGTGGTGTCCCTTGTGGGCCACCACAAATCAGTTTTCCCAATTCAGCGTGACAAACCTCCAGAGGATTCATTTTCTTTTGTTTTTACTCTTCGAAAAATTGATGAGTATCCCAAAGGATACGAAAGGAATAACGATGATATCTCGACGAGCCGTGCAAAACAATAGCTTTTCCTTCCCCCAGACGTTTGTCACGTTGAATTGGGAAAACATTGTCACATTACGAATGAGGTCTATTCAAGCCAAAAAGCCTATTTGTGGTATACATTTCTTTTGTATTTTCATTTGAGCCTTTTATTCAAAACAATCAAGAAAGGTCCGCTGCTGGAGAAATTTGGTAACATTGTCT